GACTGGATAGAATACGACTGTCGATCACGTATACTTGTGTTCAACAGCATGCTAAATAACTATGAAGTATACTTGTGCAGGCCTATAGCTCTATCCAAAGTACTAGAAATGGGCACATATTTGCTCGGTAATTAAATATTCCCGAACCTGTTGTCTGTGTGTGTGAGCTTCGGCTTTACTGTCCAATGCCTTTTTTTGCCACGGAGATAAACTCGACTGTTTAAAAATCAAAATAAACCAAGACGTGATCTCTACAGATAGTGTTAAATGAAAGTACAGTGACATTTATATGAATTCTCAAGAGAATTAGAACTTCCAATCATATGTGACACGAGTCAATTGTGTTAATAATTGCTGTGCAAGGTTGTAAATTATGCTGTGGTGTATCTCTACCTTTTACTGATATGTTCAATAAAGGTATGCCTATCTATTCACAAACATTGTTGACTGTATGGTAGAAAGATTTGTAGATAACTGCAATTGCACGTTAAAAGGCACAATTGAACATAATGTCGCTTATGATTGCTTCACAAAAATATCTCACAATGGTATAGTCATCAATCGAGTCACGTATTAAGAGATGTGAATTAAGAGCCACAGTTTCTGCTTGCAGGAGCCGTCCGTAATTGCGACTATAGTACTTGTGTTTTGGTTGACAGCAAAATTGGTTTTACGATTTTCTAGTAAGATGAAATTTAATTTCTGGTAGTATTACATGTATAACATAGTAATTACAGTTTCGTAACTGTAAAAATTTTTTGAGATGGTTCTGTATGCACGAGATCTACGAATTAGCGAGCGTCTGCCAACTATCCAAGGAAGCAATCAAGATGCTTCACAGCCCCTGTACACTCATTCTGCAAAGTTTTCTAATAAATGAAGTCCAATTTCAACGCCAAGCTTCCTTGTCTATATGAACCACAGGGGTCCACTGGCAACTGGAAACAATTGGGACCAGTTGAAGTGGTTTATGGTCAAATTACCAGTGGGGACCAGTTGCCAGTGGATCTCAACTGGGACCAGTTGAAGAGTTTTATGGTCAAATTCCCTGTGGGGACCAGTTGCCAACAGGTACCAGTTTTAACCCCCTGACAACAGGTCCCCACTCGGAATTTCACCATAAAACAACTTATACAGGTTCCAGTTGTTTCTAGTTAGAAGATTTTCACCTGGGTTATTACAACCTTTTTGAGTTGCGAGTCTATACAGATCGGTGCAGATCATTGCGACTCGGCCAGACGCATTTTCAACCACCCATTCACAGGGTACGCCATTTGCTGATCTGGCAGGCTCTCATGAACTGTAGAAAGCGCGGAAGTAAGGTGTGCTGGCAGGGGTGGCAACACCTCTTGGAGCATATATGAACCACTCCGCGATCTTCGTTTCTGTTGCCAGACGGCATGGGTGCTGCTGGGCACACTATGTGATAGCCTCCGAGGCTACGCTCAACCTGTTGGTGTGCCATCTCAGAGGTCTAGAATAGTAAAAGCTAAAATTGTTGAGCTCGCTCATGAGAGCTCTGCGATCGCCAGCGATGCCAGCGTGCCTCATAAGATGAGGAGGCCTGGTAGAAGTGAGAAGGGAGGTATAATATATTTGTCCACAGTGGCCTTGGTACATGGCATGTCACTAGATTTGTGGTGTGAATGGTTTGATCATGCTCTAGCCTAAATGCTGAAAAAACTACACAAAACAGTTTCATGCTCCTTTTAAAGCCCCCGAAATTTCGCAGACAGTACCTACAGTCGATCCCAGATATATCAAACTCTGATATATTGAATTATTGGCTATATTGAACAGTTAAAAATCCCCTTGAACTTCCCATGCAAAAAGTATGGGACCGGTGCACCCATATATCGAACTCCTGCACAACGGGACATCCGCTATATTGAACGCTGCGCCACGCCGAAGCCCAGAAAGTGTATTTTTCCTAGCAAATATTGATCAATTTTAGGTCACGTTCTAACAAGTTTCTATCCTTTTTCGGGCGCGTGCGACGAAAAATACGGGTGTTATTCCATCGCACTGATCTGGTTCGTTGCGCAGCACTTGCTACATCTGTACGTTTGACACACGATCTGCAGGTCTTAGCGCGTGGACATGATGTTTTCCAAAAGACAGATTGCCGAGGGCACCGAAATGAGAATGGGAAGTGACTCGGCAATCTCAGTGCAATGTTCGCATGTGGTTCGCATTCCCTTCCTTGTTGTTAGGGCACCATGACATGCAAGCCTGAAAATATTGGCCTTCGAGATGTGCTACCTTGTCACGCATTTATTTTTAGTGTTTTCGGTTTCAAAACACGTGTCCAGAGGCTACGCTTCTTTTAATTTTTTTTGCATCAAAGCCGCTAAAAGCAGCGGCTGCCAGCTACAAAGCCACAGTGACATCGATATCGCCGTTGCGTCTTTTGCAACTTGCGGTCTTGTGCACTTCTCACCTCGTTATGAGAATACGAGAATAAATCCTCATTCGGGAGCTTAACTGAACGTTGACAAGCACGTAGCGATAAAAATTATGACTAGCGCTTGGAGCGGCGTCAAGTAAAACACTGCATAGTAAAAGTTCCTTGCGAGCCGGGTGATGACTTCGGGTGCGTCATGACCGCTAAACAACGGCGTACGGTGCCTCAGTGAATTCTGCGACTTATCAGCATTTCGGGGCACCATCTCGGACAGTAGCGACTTCATCGGTACAGATGACAATGTTGCTGTTTTTGACTGCATCGATGCCGAAATTTTGGCTGCCGTTTCTGGTGCTGCGGAAGTGTACTCGTGCGTGTATGATGCAAACGCCTTCGCTGCGGCCGCTAACGAAGCTTTTGCCGCGCTACAAAGCTTGCATCGGCGTTCTGCGTCAACCAACGTTGTGGCCGAAGGAGCTAAGTTCGCTTATTTGAAAAGCTTCAATGATATTAAGAATGACTGGAACTTGACAGCATGCAAGAAGCAAGACAAGTTTACGGACTAAACAAAGTGCAGTAACTTGCAGTTCGCACCTTTTTTTTCGAGCGAATCGTTATCTTAGCTCTTATAACGATTTCAGAGGCCTGAAATTATTCCATTTATGCCTTAAACATGCATATTTTGTATTTCGAATTCTATTTCGCAATCCACTTCGAGTTTGATATATCCGGGATCGACTATACTACTATTACTACTACTGCTTATTTATGCGACGAAAAGGACAGGACTAATATATCTGACCACAACAATGATGAATTGCACTGCAGTGTATGTAGGATTGCCACCTGTCTAGTTTTAGATCGGCTCAGTCAGTTTTTTAAACAGCGGGCCGGTTGCTGGTTGGCACCCACCATCATTTGGCAGTAAACGAAGCGTCATTATTATTATGGGTATATTTATGGTAGCAATTGGACCAGTAGGTTCGCTCAGTTCACAGTTTTTGTTTGTACACCAGGTTTATTAGGTTCAAGTGAAGCAATGTTACCTTAAATAGCACTACGTGCTAAAGACCTGACATGTCGTGTCAACACTAACACCATCTACTGGTAGCTCCTCTTACCCCCCCACTTGTCAAAGGGCCGGTTTTTTTGTTCGAGAAAAGGTGGCAACCCTAGGTTTATGTGATAAGTCTCATTTATTGTAAACGTAACACGATAACATTATTCCACTTACACAATGCCTTCAAGTGGTCTGCAGCCTTCTGCGAAAGCTACAGACTACTTCAAGCAAAAGAAAAAGTACTTGAGTTCACTTTTTTTCTGGATAATTTAAACACAACTTTTAATCTTACATAGATCAAATAGAAAAAAATAGAGCAACAGAGCACTGATTATGAAGCTGTACACAACGCAAAGTACAACAAAAAGATAACTACAATATGAACATGCTATCGTAAATTCAGAATGCATAGTCAAAAGAGAAAATTATACAGAGGGTAAATCCAATAAATGTGCATAGAATAAACATGCGAGGCACTTTTAAGCAGCTCTCAACGACGTAATTACAGCACGGCACCTAAATTATTCATAAGCACACCTATACAACTTGAAAGAAACACACCGGGAAGAAGCTTTTCTTTCTTATGAGCAAAGTACCAAGTTATTTCCTGATCAACCTTTACTTAGATATAGGCACACTGGTGTCTCTTGTACACAATTCTCTGTTGTATAAAAGTAACTTTGACTAAGGTCAATTTTATATGGCCTGCACAAAATTATTGTCAAGTAAAGAAATGCTTCAGACATCAAAAAAGACCCTTTTCACATCATTTAACTTGAGGGCTCGCTTCTATTGCCAGCCTAAGCTTGTGCTTTCACAGAGGAACATGTTCACCCCTCCTGTTCCCGTCTAGTCAAGCACTAAGTGAACCCTGCATTTCAGCACAGCCACAGCGCATGTGTGCGTAACTGGAGTAAATGGTACGATAAGAACACTACACTAAAAAGTAGTTAGAAATTAGCTGTTCTCCGTCAGTTGAGACTCCACAGGGCAAATACTAGGTTGATGTTGGTTCATTTAGCACATTGGAGGAGCACTAAAATAAAAAGTTTGGATCATTTTTTTTTTCTTTTATAATAAGTAGCTAACAACCCATTTATTCTAACTAGAAAGCTCGTCTGCTTGAGTGCACTTGGAGACTATTTTATAGCACCCAGTTGTAGTTTCGGCTTCAGAAAGTGCTGAGTGAAATAGAACCCAGAGTTATTTTTGGATAAATATAGCTGGCTACATGAGCACAAAGAACTGTGTGCACATAAGCACTACATTGACAACTCTTCGTAACGAGACATAGGTGCAGTTTACGTACGATGCTGCAAGACACATTTAATGTAAATTTTAAAGTATGTTCTAGGCTATATTACACGCTGATATTTTGTAGATGATATGCGTGTATTCAAATAAATCTATACCACAAGTTATTTGCCATCAAAATTGTGTGTCAGTGCTTTAAAATTACACAATTTAAAGAATCATGATAGGGCATATAATTCACAGCTATAAAATATACCTCCAAATTAATGCCAATGTACTTACCCTCGAGTGGTAGCTGGGCCAGGACACCATCGGGCGTCGACTCCTGTGGCCTTGGGCAGCTCAGGGCAGATATACATTCTGCTAGTCTATCCGTTTTTGGCCCTCCTGCTGGCAGCTTTGGGCGCTCAACATTATGCTTCACCATGTCATAAAAGTCATCTGGTTCATCATTCCCTGAGTCTTCAGAGTCACTTTTCTGAAGTAAAGCAAACACAAAAGTTATGCAGGGGCGTTAACTGATCTGCATTCCTTTCCACTTGTTCAAAACACAATCAAACTACTATAAAGTATATCAATAAGAAAAACACTACACATCAAAGTGTAGCTGCAAATCCCAAGACTGATGAAGACCACGACAAATGCCCATGTTGAAGTCTTTTCCAAGCTTGCTTCCCAATTTGGTAAATTTCAGAGTTTTTCATTATACAAGGCTCAACAGATAGCTCAGTAAGTGCAGTACTAAACAAGAAATAAAATGCCCTTAGAGCATATTACTGTAAAATAAAAGTATAGAGCATGCATGCACTGAGTGTCATAGATTTCAGGTTTTTAAAGTTATGCCAATTCACTATAACACAAAGTTACAAGTTTTTGATCACTTTTACAACTCGCTATTTCTCTTACTCCAATTACATAATTCAACATAATTAGTACATAAGCACGGTAAGTCCTAAATTAAGGACTGCCAATGAAAAAGGTGTAGCAAGATCTACCAAAAGCTCCACTTCATCCATAAAGTGCTTTTGCAGCCCCAACAACAAATTCTGACAAAAGAAAAGAGAGAAAGGGAGTATAAAATATTCAAGGCTGAGTATTGGGAAGCCTGCACAATAAATATGACACCTTCAAAGAATTTTTCAGCTGCAATTAAAAATAATAATGTGCAGAAGAATGCTTCATAATACACAAAACACACCGTTATGCAACAGTTATCAAACATTAGGAAGTAATTTTAAGGTGATGCTACAGGCCTAGGTCATTACAAGCCAGCTTTCAGAAAAGTCGTCTATACAAGCAATTGCAAAACATATAAAATGTTTCAATTAACTCACGCAAAGGTTTAAAATTAAGAGTCCATATTAGCATTAATTACCCAACCTTTAAAGTACATTTTTGATTGATATGTGGGGTTTAACGTCCCAAAACCACCATATGATTATCAGAGACGCCACAGTGGAGGGCTCCGGAAATTTGGACCACCTGAGGTTCTTTAACGTGCACCCAAATCTGAGCACAAAGGGGCCTACAACATTTCCGCCTCTATCGGAAATGTTTAAAGTACATTTTTAAACATAAGGACTTTAAACGGAGAAGCTGTAGGAGCCCTTAATATATTCAAATAATTTGTTTCGTGATGATTGCTATGGCTGCTTTAATCTTTCTTGAATGCGTTGAAAAAAATTGAAAGATTCAAAAAGGTCGATCATTTTTTCAGGTAATCGAATAATTCATGCTTGGCCCTTGGTTTTGCAGATGTATGCATTATTTCATGGCATGACACTCATTCACTCACAAATTGGTCAATTCAATTTGAGCAACTCTTGAAACATGGCCATCACGTAGCACAGAAAACCTGCGACACAAGAGCTAGAGTCCGAACAAGGTGTAGCGTTAAAGCCGCAAGGCTGCAGCTCTCGGACAGAAATATGCAGGGATATTGCGAGAAGCTACCCTAGGATGGTTGGAAAGGGTGAAGATTATTAAGAAAGAAGAAAGTCCACAAGCACAATTACTTTATGTCTCACCAGGGCTGGTGCCCTCAACCATGCCTTTCAGGGAAGGCAAAATGAAAGAAAAAGTACGAGATTTATCGAGATAGATGTGACTGGCAGGGTTGCCAGGTTTGGCTATGTCGCACCATTTCTTTAGGCCACTAGTGGCAGAAAAATCATTTTGGCTACTTTCCTGTCCCTTCAATTGGAGAAAACCTATCAAGATCAGGTGAGGTTACACCTGCTGGTGTCCAAGTATATGATGCCAACACATAGCAGTCAAAGCATGCTTGCAGTTCCAAAAATTGAATTTAGCACTTTGATTATGCAGAGACCTAAGCAGGTGTAAAGGTGAATGGTGGCATCATTACATAAATATAAAAAACACGCATTTATAGCTTCCTGCCCAGGCAGGCCTTACACACACACAAAAAAAAATACCTGTATGGAACCCTATGAGAACAGTTATGTGGGGCCTCTTTTTGAAGCCATTGCTAGACGTGCCTTGAGCCACAACTGAAAGTGACCATTAATAAAAAGCGCTCCACATTTAGGGCACTCTGCAACCATCAAAATTAAAAATCTGGTATCTCACATTTCAAATGAACGCTGAAAACAAGTAGACAAGAGGCAAAAGTGGCAACAGAAGCACTAAAAGCACTTGTTCATGAGCATTTCATTGCCGCATTTTCTTTATGTCCTTGTTTTTTAATGCTGTCTTTGGAATGCTGTACCAAATCGCCCGTCGATCAAGCTTTCTGGTTATTTGACGAACTAACTACTTGTATAGTTTTCAGGCTTAGGTAAAAACTGCAATTCTTGATTAGTTATCATTGAAGAAATATTTATGAAATTTACTACAATTTATGCTTAAGTGCGAGCAGCTGAAATTTTAAGCATGCTTATCATGCCTTGCATAGATTTTTATTGTCGCAACTTCTAATAATTAGCAAAATCTTGCAAGACGCATGAAGTCATTTTTTCCACAGCGCACACTACGTCTTCGTGTTACTTGAAGAAAGGCCAGCAAAATCACGCAACACAATAAAGAGGCAGATGCACACATCACTGTATCCACACGCACACACCACTCTTCAAGTAACCAAATGGCCCAGATATGAGTTATCTAGTATGTCTTCATGCACAAAGCACTTGCTAAAGTCAACAATTTATAAAAGAATCTCATGAATTGTGATACTCAAGTGTTTGTGCTGCACATGTCTTTATTTACAACGAAAGGTTTTTCTATTTAGCCATTTAAATCGAAGTGTAGAACCCGTTTTCTCACACTCATTGACACTTCTGGCTACTTTATTGGCCCATGGTTTAAGTTGGCTAGTTCTCTCAATTTTCAGGCAATTTTCCATCTTCTTGACCTGGCAAACATGGATGTTAGTGTAGCCACATAAGAATGCACGGCCCAAGCCAGCCCGAACGCTCTGTTGGATCGGGCCTGGGCTGGGCCTATGAGCTTTGGGCTCGAGTCGGGCCCGTAATAGGCCCGGGTCTCATTTACGGGGTGTTTCAAGGAATGTGTCTAATATTAGTTAAAAATTACAGAAAGGAGGTACCTGCATGCTACCTGCGGCGTTCCCTTTACTTTGGCAGAAGGCATTCAGAGTGTATAAACATTAATTATGGCAGTAAATTAAAAATAAAACAATTATTTGTTCCAGAATCTACCTTTTCAATGAGGGCGTTTTCGAAGTGAATGGTAGATGCCCTGTTTGGTGCGCCGGTTTCTATTTCGTCAGCATGATTAGCCAGATTTCATCGCTCTACGGTGATTACCTGAGGCCACCTTTCGAAAATGTTTGTCTATAGACTATTCGCAGGAAAAACCAAGTCACCGATTTGACTCGACTGGCTATATGTACTGATTAAAAGGGTAATTATTTCAATTTCTTTAATTACTCACTTAATTAGTGCAGACAGAAGCTATCGTCATTCCTTTCATCTTCGGCGATATCATTGAATCTTCAAAAGTGAATGAATTTCACAAAGTCATCATCGCAGAAGGTAAACCATTGGCGGATGCAGTTATTTTCCTAAGCATCACCTGCGAACCCGGAGTAAGTCTTCTGATTGGGTCGGACCAATGGAGGAAAGTAATTCCAAATAATAGCAAAGTCCGTTAAATGTCAGTTAACAGACCATTAATTGCCATTAACACGAAAATGACGTGGACTTTACAAGGACCATCATCCATCGAGGAGCAAAATGAACAGTATTCGAGCAGTCATATATGCATCCTGCGAACAGACGTGTAATCGGAGGAGGATTTATCTTACTCATCAAAACAAATTTCCGAGCTCGATACACGAGTGGTGTTGCAGGAAACACATTCCTGAAGCAAGACATTGACACAGGAGGTTCAACGAAGCCGTTCGATTTCCAAAATGGTCGAGATGAACCGAAGACATCACCGAAGAATCATGGTAGTGTTGCCATTTCTTTGAAGAAAAAAAAGAACAGTTGAACCTTCTGTAAAAGTATGAGGCCTAACAAGAAAAATGGACATGCAGAGAAGATCACCACTGATAAAATGCCTGAAGTGATCCGCAAAACAGGTATGATAAGGACCACAGTTGTGTATTGCGCCTCTTCGAAAGGGGCAGAAGAGTACTCAATGTCCAACTTGAAATGGGAGTTGAAGACAAAGACAATCTTGGCGTCAGGTCTCCCTTCGACAACTTCGGAATATGGCAACTGGCCTGTAGCTACCACAATATCAGCATTTTGCATACCTCAATTCGAGTGACATGCATTGATGCTATCGTCTTCACGTATTAAGCAGGTGCTCAGTAATTGTGATGCACGTGCGCGATTTAGACTCAATACTCCCTGAGCAGCTACAACCCCATTCCAAAAGACTGTGTCCCAATCGAAGCTGCAACAGTCAACAGTGTCGACAATGTTGTGCCTGTGGCTGCAGGGGGGGGGGGGGGGGGGGGGGGGACTACCATGAAAGGATATAGTGCCATTGCTAAACGTGGGCCAGTTAGAGCAGTGCACATATTTGAAGTGCCATTGAGGCTAACACATCTTTGAAGGCTTTCCGTCCTTTTCTCGCGCAGTTTCAAACTCTGATAATTTTTATTTATTTATTTATTTATCAATACTGTAGCCGAAGGCCGTTACAGGGTGGTTGCGTTACAAAATATGCAATAAAAATGTGAAAAAGTGCAGTCGCAATCGAGGACAGACTAATGGTACAGTACACGCAAAAGACACAATGCAGTAGTACACGTTATACAATGATAGAAAAGGTACAGTGCAAGCAAGAAGAGCTATAGACACTAGTAAACCATGGTACAAACAATTTTTCCACAGAGAAATGCTCAATGCTAATGAAGAAATGCTCAAGAGAGATAGCCGTGAACTGAAGCCGATGCTTTTGAGACATATTATTTCACGACTTCTCTACACTCGTGCAAATAAGCTGAAAATTGTAGCCGAGTGTTATTCATTGTAAGGAGGATTTGTGGAAAGATGATACGGACTGTAAAAGGCTGCCTGGGGAGATATTAAGGCAATGTTAGTGAAGTAGTCGGGTGGAGGATGTAGAAAATTGTGCGCGACACGGACTGAAAAGACGGAGAGCGGTAGTGGGGCAGAGGCTTGTTTGTTCTTGGACTATTCGAATGTATGCCATGTTGTAGAAGGCTCTGCGCTGAGCACCAATATAGGCTCCAGAGAGATCTTCCGACAAAAACAACACTTTCAAAGATCGAAAACTGTCACAAAAAGACAACGAAATAGGCATCTTCAGTCAACAATGAGGATGGTGGCTCGCTTGCTAATGGGTGTGGCTCATTTTGACAGATTATAAAACTGGGGTGGCGGCAACTTTGCGAAGAAGGGTGGGGCAAATAACGTTCTTGTTTTGGGCTTGAAACATAGTGTACGTTGGAGTGTACGTTCCAAAAGTAGCCAGAGTGTTTTTTTTATTGCATGGTGCAATAAATGACCTTTGCAGGAGACATGTTACTTTTACTGAACAGCCCTGGCTCGCATGCAGTTTATGCACTCAAACTATCAATGCCTTCTATTTTTTTTTTTCCACTTCATGGGTGTAAAACATTTTGCAGTCGTTTTTTTTTAATGCAAAAATAATATTAGTGTTGTTAGCACCACATAAATGAGGCAGCTGGCTATAATTACAATTATATTTTATATTACCCTGTAATGATTTCGCAAAAGTGTTACGAGTCTAGTTAACCGAAAGTACACAATGTATACCTGGGAAAAGTCGCGACACTGAAAGAAGTTCGGAAACACTCACTAGAATATATCTTGTGTAAGTGAGGTATCTTCACAATTACCGAAATGTGGACAGTGCCTCGTTTCTGTTCAAGGCATAACTGGCTCAAACGGGCCGGGCCTGGCCCAAGCCTTTCGGGCCCGGGTCGTATTAAACACCGGGCCAGGCTCGGGCAGGACAAAGCATGATTTCAAGCTCCGGGCGGGCCGGAGCTTAAAATGCTGGGCTCCTTGTTTTGCATGCACGAAAAACCAACAGTGAACAGATGAGAACTGTTCACTAAGAGCAAGCAAAGTGAAAAGGCACACTATGCAATGTCACCATGTGCCTTTCAAGCCCTGCTAAATAGTTGACCAAAAAATACATTGAGTAATCATTGCTTGTTACTGCTATGTTACAACCACAGACAGAAACATAAACCCATTATTGCTGCTTACCCAGCCTGGGTCTCTATACAGCTCGGTGAGCACATCGGGATACAAAAAAGCATGGCAGGTGCTGCACAGTGGATGGCCAAAGGATGGTCCATAAAAGCCATTGCATGCATGGCACACAGTTTGCTGCCGGGAGCAAAATAACATGATTGCAATGAACATGACACCAGAAACAAGTCAATATCAAAGAGAACAGAACATGCCATGGAAAGTAGAGGGCATGTTATTAGTAGTAAATGTAATGTAATTGTAAAGAAAGTGGATGAAAAAATAACTTGCCGTGGGCAGGGACCAAACCTGCAACCTTTAAATAACGCATTCAATGCTCCACCAACTGAGCTACCACAGCAACCATCCCGCCATCCACTTCATGGGGGCATATATGCGCACTTAAATGTGGGAGAGGCAGTCAGTGCCGCCAGTAGCCATGACTGCGAGTGTGGAACACTTTGTCTTTTGGCATAATGTAGCATGTGATCTTATTACAGCCTGGCAGCTGTCCAATAATCTCTCACATACCACCTGAAGGCATGAAGTATGCTAGAACAATACCCTCGCTATTTACAAAAAAAATTTCAAGGGCTCATTTTTCTTTCTTAGACACAACTTAATGAAAACTAACAGACAACACTGTCAAAAAAAAGTATAGAGGATGTTAGCAGAAAATGTACCATAAAATGGGGTTACTTTGCGACATGCACTCAGGTTTCTGTATTTTAAATCTCACGCTACGGCCAGGCGCCACTGAAAAGCATTAGGCCACTCAAAAAGCTTGCCTGAGATGCCAAGTGACCTAGCGGCAGCCAGCCGAGGTTCATAAACTTTGCGTGCTCGACCCGGCCCCACGAGACAAACAGCGTGATTGCTATTATAAAGGCTAAAATAAACTGCAATATAAATTTAATCAAGTCATGTTTAAGGTAATAGAAAGAAAACTGAAATGTTGACACTTGACAGGGTAACTTTGTGACATGCAACTGTCGCCAAGTTACCCCAATAAGGGCAGTTCTTCCTCCGGTATCAGAGCTAGACGACCTAGGAAGGGGTCCCCTCTTAAGGACAACAGCGCAGAAGCTGTGATAGCGAATTGTCTTCAGATGGTCAGCACGGCGACAACGAAAGGTGGTCAGAAGGAGATACAAGTGATTCCGAGATACTCTCCAGAAGTCTTGACAGCTTATCTGAAACGGACACTCCTACCACTTCCGTGATACTACATACTACCAACGTCTTAAGGGTCCATGGTGCAGGTTTTGGAGGAATAACCTTCAAGAAGGACGACTTTGTTGTAGTAAACTTCGAATGACAACTTTACCCGGGAAGAGTTACAGCAGTCAAACCTGACGGTCAGCACTATGAAGAGGACCCAAAAGTATTGGAGATGGCTGGACTGTGAAGACGCAATTTTGTACTGAAAAGAATAAATTCTGTACTCAAGTGAATCCCTTAAGCCCGTAGGCAAATGGGGCATCTTTTGAGGTAAAAGATCTCGATTGAGGAGGTACGTATATGAAAAAGTTTTCGTACAATTGTGATGTTGCTAGAGCAGGAACCAATTGTAGATAACTCAAACTTTTTATGGGGTAACTTTTTGCCAGTTTTTTTTTTCCCAATCATATTCAGCCAAAAACATCATCACAAAGTTTCCCCACACAATAGGGCAACATTGTAACAGTTTTTAACTTGAATATAGCCGTTTGCATTGAAAAATGCCGATTTGTAGAACATTTCATTGTGCGAGGAAAGGTTTCAGAAACGTGCCATTATTCATTCGCCTTTATATTGACGATTTCCTAGCAAAGGAAGGAAAATGTGCAAAATCTGTCACAATGTAACCCCATTTTACAGTAATGTAATTGTGAAGAAAGAAAAGTTTACGAAAAGATAACTTGGCCTGACCATTCAGACAAAGTTCTTGGCCTCAGGCTATGAACAGGGTAATTTCGACTGAGCTAACAGGTGGCACATTTATCAGTCAGCAACTAAAGGCCTTGAAAATATGCCACTTTTTTATCTTAACTCTGCCTATACAACATACTAAAAAAGAATACTGCCTTACAATGACAACATACACGACAATGATCACTAAAACACTTAAAAGAAATTGTCTACTGCTCGGAAAAGTTTTTCTGATTGGGGCGCAAATGAAAAAAAACTTTCATCACATCGGCGGCAACGAGCATGCTTTAGTGCCAGAAAAAAAATTATAATTTTAACTTGAAAGTCGATACAAAGTGACAACTCGCGTCAATTTGGTGAACAGCGAATGTGGTCAATCTTGACAATCTATTGGTAGGACAAGAGATCCTCGCATGTAAACTTATTTTGCCTAAAAACAAACACGTTTAACTTGAATTTGTATTTTATGCACTTGAGGTAGCTTCAAGTTGCGCCAGGGACCGATTTTTGCTTTTTTTATTCCTCACGCGACCACGGCTTGCGCCGCCGCTCATGTGAACAACAAAAAAGTGTGTGCGTTCCTTAATTGACCACCGAGGTATTTGTTGTATTAATAACCCCACTTCATCAAGCCTGGAAAAACCGCACGCGGTTTTTGCAGGCTTGATCAACGGCTTGACACAACGCGGACAGAAAAATTCTCTTTTTATAATGTCTACGCACTTTACAGAGAAACCGCTGCAAGGTTAGACACTTCACATGGTACGCTCTTTAGTGCGATACGAAACAGGAGAGCATTGAAGGACGTTAGACAGTCCCTTTAAATAGTCATTGCGCTTTTAAAAAGAGCAAATCATTGACGGAAAAGACCAATCCGCTGCCACTACGCTGCAATTAATAGCTTAACCCCCGTATTTAGAAACGCTCCTCGACTTGCCACCGCCTTCGATGCAGCGCGTTCGATACGCGTTTGTGTGCCTTGGCACCGCCTAGAGCAGCGCGTTCGAAAGGCGTGCGTGCTTAATTGAAAGGGGTGGCAAGTCAAGTCGAGGATCGTTTCTGAATACGGGGACAAGAGGCTCCAGGCTACCTCTTCGCGCAGCGCGAGTGCAAAGGCAAACATCAACTGTGTAAATGAAGTTGCCGATCGCTTATGCCTTGGTAAGATTGCATACCGCGCTTAACAGCGGGAACAAATTCGAACATAACAGTAAGTCTCCCACGAATATTTATTATCCGTAGATTACAAAGCTCAAGCGTATGTAAGGATGTGATTATGCCAAATCGTTGGCTCACAGCGCTTAGCATAATATAGTTAGGATGTCGAACCCTGAACGCGACGCCAGACGAGGGAAGGCGACTAAAGAAATAAAGGAAAAAATAAATCGCTATACCTGAAATATAAACTAGCCGCAGTAAACTGCAATACTAAGCACACATGCGTTTGTCTGCAGCGTCGATTCGTGAAATATCGAACAATTTCGCTAAGCGACGCGAGGGCTACTTGCGAACGTTAGAGACGCGCGGCGCTAAGATTGGAGTGCCGGGGAAGAAAATACAAAGTGCCACGAAATAGCTACCACATAAAATAATGGCATACCTTCAACTGGAATAATCTGTGTCCGTTCCGAGTTATTTCTTCCAGTCGACCATCCGCAGGACACCTGACAGATACCGTGCTGCGCTGGAGATTGCAGTTCACGGCAGCCATTTCCTACGCCATGCGCTGCCGTCGAGATGAAAATGGTGTACTTAAACGACAGATCAAGACTGCATCGCTACTCTTTTGGCAGAAAAATGCTCAGGCCTAGCAGAGAGTTCACCTAGTCAGCAACGAAGCTAAACCGGGAGGAGAAATAAGAACACGACACACTGAAGCTGCGCGAGCTATCAGCTCAGCCGTCATTTGCCCGCCTGCTTGGCCGCGTCTGATAGGTGTTCTGTGGTCGCGTGTGGTCTCAGAACACCTAGTGTGGAACGCTACAGTGTACTAAAAGGAAGAAGTGGAATGAACGAGGCGGCCGCGCCGCATCTCGGCTGATTCTCCGGCAGGTGACAGTAACAGCGCTGTAGTCGCATGGTACTGAAGATCTCGGGAGCGTTTGTACTAGAAGCGCGCGCTCCATAGCCTGCGACAAAGTGTAATTGCTCGTTTTTAGCGCGTTCAAGGCATTTTTGAGGCCATAGTAGTGTATGCACACCTGCTACGCATCATGGCGCACGAGGGAATGTTTATCCTTTCTCCATGGCGCCACACAGGCCCGCAAACTCTCATGTTCCCGCGTTGGCCGTAGAGGGAAAAAAAAAATGACTGCGGCGAGTTTCATTATGTGCGCATACAGTGTAACTACTAACTGTTCTTTTAGTGATCGGATAAGTTAGTGTGCATTTTCCCTGCTAGGGGCGCTCACGCAACTAAAATATTTATTTTAAGATGTATCAAAAGACCGTTAAAAGAGTAGTTACCACGTCGTTTTTTTATAAAAAAATAAATAAAAATTTTTGTATTATATTTACTGTTATTACAAGGACTGTGACATTTTAAGTTCAAGTATTGAGATTATCCTGACGCTCGAAAAGCAGCAGCCCATTCGCATCGATTTCGTTTCTGTCGAACACGGAGGAAGGAATTGCTGTCGAATAATTTGTTCAAATAACGGAGGAAGGAAAGGTACTTTTTGTCGATGGGCATTACGAAGCTCCGTTTTAATTCTGCTTTGATATATCAATGCGAGCTTGTGTGTCAGACTTCTCGGGCCGCAACGACGATGCGAACGTGTCTAGAGGCTGTGAACCATGTCAGGTGTGCTTCACCGACGTCCGGCTGCGTAGCCTCCAGCGTGAAAATTCAACGGGCAGAGACTGCTGCAAAGCGCGGCGCACGAGTTAACGTGAGTTAACCCCACACAGAAACAGGAACTGCGCCGCACGGAAGTGATGTCATGCAATTTCCGGCTAGGCGCTTTGTTTGATTAGTCGGGAGTGTCTAGCGGTACATCTAGACTTAACAATAAAAGCAGTTAAAATTACGTCCAAACGAAAAAGTGAACAAAAATGTTAGTTAGGTTTAGCGTGACAATAATACAAAACCGGCTTCTTTGCCATCGCAAACTGATCGGCAGCTGTGGCGTAGTTCAATAAAGAAAGAAAAAAAGGGCAGCTGTGGCGTAGTTGGTTAAAGCCACACCTCAGCTGGTGAGGTCGGTGGTTCAAGTTTCATTGCAGTTATCGATACTTTCTCTTTTTTTTTTTTTGTTCACTCATGTATTCTTTTAACATTTGCGCCTCCTCATCAGCCCGACTTGGTGGTGGTGGTCCCGTCCACAGGCCCTTTAATATTGGATCTTCGATGACTCTTGCAGGAATGACTATATTTATTATGATAAAGTGTTTTGCGAATTAGTGCTCTTAATCGGCGAGACGTAAAAAGACACAAAAAATTCGAATGCAGCTGGCTGCATTGGTTTCTTCGGCACAGGTGTCAGGAATGTTGATTTCCACGGTTTATCAAAGTTTTGATGACAGAAAGGTGCACTGCAACGTAGTCTCTGGCAACTTTTTTTTATGTCGGCCAGTGTACCATCACCTGACGTGGTAACCGGCAGGCCGCTTTCTTTAAAAATACTGACGTGTCACCGCAATGTTCTAGGCGATCAGCACTTGATAAACAATGCCCAAGGGCAAGTGCCGACGGCATTAGCCCATCTAATGGCGAATTCCATTGAGAGAACAGGAGTAAGGGTGCCGAGCAGAGAGGAGTAGGGGGCAGAGCACTGAGAGCCGCGTCACTCGACCTGCCACTGGAATGCGGCACACCTCCGCAGAGCAGGTGTGAGGGAATAAAAAGGCGAGTGAGGAGAAAGGTTGTGCATCCCAGCGTCCTCTGCTGCAAAACACGTGCGGTCTGATCCGGACGGGCAAGGAAAGCACGTGTGGCAGTGGTTGGTACAGCGCACTCGCTTGCGCGCTATCCTGCAAAGCTGCTGCTTCGTATACTACTACATGATGGACTCGGAAGCTCAGCGCATCCTACTGTCTTTAATTCAACACCAGGCACCATCTAGTACGGAAGGTAAAGTGAATTTGATTGCTTTTTATTTGTTTCAGCGCACTTGTCGCGCATGCAGCATGCAATGCATTCTTGCGCGCGTGGACCTAAGCCCACTATTCTTTATCATATCAGAAAAACACCGTGGATATGACAGCTTTATCAGACTGTTCATGCAGTTACCAGCTGCTGCTGTCATCAGCAGTTAACAAAACGTAAACAATTCTAGAAGTACTGCAGTACACTATCCTGTTGCCAAGTTTCCTTGCATGAGTAATTAATCCTTAATTCAAAACAAACTTACATTGCAGACCCCTCCATCAGCAACAGAATGATTCGCAGCGTTTTAAGAAAAGTAACTGCGAAGTGGCGTGTAGCAAGTGTCACGTGGGTGCAGCTAAGTATTGCACGCAGTAACAATTTATTTTTATTTCTGATTTTTAAGTGGCTAATGTCTCCAGACGGCAGATCAGCATCCCACGTGATACGGTGAAGCCATACATCTCCTCGGAAGCACGATTTCTTATCGCAGGGTCGAGATGCTACGTATGATAAGCGATATTTTTTTTTAATTATCAGTGATTTGTGCAGTGTTTCATGCAGCCCTGTAACATGATGAATTGACTTTTTTAGAATTTGTTTTTTGCTTGCTCTAATCCGCTTACCTTCGAGTGTAAGGCATCCGAGTTTGCATAATGTAGCTGACTACTTGAGAAACCATTTTCATTATATAACTGATTTGATTACATTTCCATCATTGTGTGAAAACAGATGCAGTTCTGCGTACAAATATGGCTGGCGATGTGCCAAGGCGAGGGGAGCGAAGAAATGCGCATGGAGCTCAGATTGCCATGCGTTGAAACAGGAGGTGGTAAGTATTAGTATTAACATTATTGCGAGGCACTACATTTACTGCTCATTTATATTTTTTAGATGGCACAGATACTCTGCACCTGCCAGCTCCCACTGCATCAAGATCAGCTGACGGGGAGACTGGTGCTCAAAGCAAGCCATCAGGCTCCAGGAGAGGAGGTGGAGGCAAGTATATTAACACTGAGTGTCTACAATTGCCTCAGCAAGTGTTCTTGGGTAAATCTAACAAGCATGCATCAGAGCGTGTAAAAGTGTACTTGTAGGAGTGATCCTTAAATGACAAAAAAAAAAGAGAGCATGGAAAGCAGACCACTACAATTACTGGAAGACTGGCACAATTTGCATATTGCATTTACATGCACAATACCAGAACTTATCACTTATGTATGTTTGCTAGTCTGCGCAAATGCTTGTTTTGTTGATTAATGCTTGCTGATTGATAATTAAGCTCAAGTGACCGTGCTGTGTGTTAAATTATTCAATTATAAGTAATGCCTGCACAATGACCGACAGTTTCCCAATAAACCATTTATGTGTTGGTTCTTTCTTATTCTAGCTGCTGAATGGACAGAGGGGCAAACAAGGCTGCTCCTAGAGTACTACCTCAAATATTTCCCTCAGATTGGCCCATTTAAAAAATTCAAAAACAGGAAGCAAGCCTTTAAACAAATATCGATGGACATCGAGGCTGTGCTTGGCATAGCCAAAACCCCTGAACAGTGTGAAAATAGGTACAAAACAGTAATTAGGCGTCGGAAGGCGTCTTCCGACCATAACAAAAGGTCTGGTGCTTCACCCACCCCTGTGCCTTTTGACGACGAGGTGAAAAAAATTGAAAGCATTGATGACAGCATTGAACCGGAGGTAGAGCGAGACGCCTCAGGGGCTACATTCAAAGCCTCGCCCGAATCTCCGGCCGTGTTGTCACCTGCCAACACCACTGAGGAAAATAAGACGCAGTCCTCAAATCCCGACACGAAGCCACGGGTAGGAACTGCACGCCTGGCACACATGCAGTTGTTTTTTACTGAAATGAGGGCACTGCAAGAAGAAAAGGAGGCTCAAAAGGCGGCCAGACGTCAAGAAAAAGAAAATCGAAGAGCTGAAAGGCAGGCCGAGCGACAGGTGCTTCGTGAAGAGCGGCGCAAAATGCATGAAGAAAAAATGGAGATTCTCCGTCAGGCCTTTGGACTTCCAAAATAAAGTGGTAGTTTTAAATAAATAAACGTACTACCCAAAGCGATTACTTAGTTTCAATGTCTTTTATTTTCTAGTTTGGCACAATACACTACCTTGAGAAAATGCAAATGGGCCAACAGGTGTGTGGTAAGGACAATTTTTCCCAACCTTGAAGGTGTTTTAACGAGTTCAGCTTTTCAGGTGGGCCTTTGGTAAGCATATATTTGCTCACAACTGCATAACACGTAAAGGAATTCCTTGTTTCATGGCTGCTGGTTCTGCAACCCCATTTTTATCATCAAGTGATCTCTCTTGATGCTAGCCAAGCCACGTAATAGGCTATCCTGTTGGGCTACACTACTGCTGCTTACTTGAACTGCAGAAGAGCTTGAGTCTACATTTGTTGTTTGTGAGGTAAGTGACAGGTCTCGTGACAGGTTCTCTGGCAAATCTCCACAATCAATGCAGAGGTTGTGAAGCACACAGCATGAAATGATAAACTTGGACATGTTATCCACTGTCCACATATCCAACCTGTGCAGTTGTCTGAAACGATTTTTTAAATCGCCAAAAGTATTTTCAATAAGCACCCTTGTCCCGGAGAGTCTTGCATTGAAGGTTTTTTGATGCTGTCAAGATTCCCATAGTCTCGAATTGGTGTCATCAGGTACTCCCGGAAAGGATATGCAGCATCCCCCACTATATGGTACTTGCTAGAGCACAGTTGTGGCAAAACACTTGAAATCCTGGACCGACGGAAAATGCGTGCGTCATGAATTTTGCTTGGGTAGCCAGTGCTGGCATCAAGAAACCTCTTCTTGTTGTCACAAACACCTTGAAGTGTCAAGGATAGGTAATGGTGCCGGTTTATATAAACAGATCGCACTTTCCTGGCTGGGCACCTGATAGGCATGTAGCTTCCGTCAACACACCCAATTGTGTCTGGGAATCCCGACAGCTGCAAGAGAAAAAAATGTGCACACACATAGTCAAATAAGCATGGCACTAAGGGTAATGAAAGGTGCCAATAACATGCGGAAAAGTTTAAAACAAACTGGAGACTTGAAGCTCATAACGGCGAGTGCAATACACTACCGGTACACATGATTGAAATTAACTGGCTATTTAATTGTGAAGCATCTGGGAAAAATAATTGTAATAACTTATTTAAAAGGTGCATTCTGGCACTAACTAATTCATAATTGTAATAGTAGAGCGGTAAAGAACACATGGGACCGCACGAAGGGGAATTAATGACACATACAGAGTACATACAGAGTGCACAAGTAACTGAACTCTAGGTTTATTCACTGTACATGCAGGACAAGTACTAGATGTACATCACTAAGCAGAAGATGGGAAAATAGAAGAGATATGAAACAGCATCACATGGTCAAAACTACTCAAGAAAAATGTCCGATTGCTGACAGCATTTGTAATACACATGAAGGAGGCTTGACTGTGTGGTGCTCTTTCATATCTCTTGCATTTTTACATTTTCTGTTCATTTGCAGTTCTGATCCTGCATATCAGTTGCTTTCAGTCCTTATTGTGGTTTGAGTAGGTGTAATTCCTCTTAGTCTGGTCCCTTGAGTTGTGTAGAGCTGTATGACATTGGTGTGAAAAAAACTGTAGTTTATACCTTAAATAGCATGTTTACAAAAGCATAGTTACCTTCTCAAAATCCACAGCAAGCTTCTGCAGGTCACTGGGGAACTTGATTACATTCGGTGCTATGTCGAGCAGGAATGCAGTTACTCGGCCCATCATTCTGTGGTGAGTGCTTTCTGCGACTTCAAAGCGGCCAGCGACATCTCTAATGCATGCTTTGTTGGCTGCATACCTGAAAAGGAGAGGATACTCTAATTAAATAATGGAATTAAGCTTGCTGTTGCTGTCAATGACTGAATAATGGTGTTAACAATGCTGTCGCTGTCAATGAAGCAAATTAGCAAGACAACTGAAGTCAGAAAACACGATTCCACCTTTTTGGGTGACACCTTAGAAACTCAAAATATTTGATTAGTAGAAGCACTATCTAAATAACAAATTCTAATTTTAATTCGCGCATTACATTTATAAGTGTGGAGATGAAGCTCACTGTGAACCTGCTGACACAGCCGATTTGAAATGCTTCGTGAGCAAAAGTTTTCATGGTTGTTTGTAATGATGCATCATGAATTATGCTTTGCCACTGATTCTAGTAACGAGAATTTTGTGAAGCTCAGTGTGTAGGTGTACAAACTACGAAAGCATTTCACAAAATACTATAACTCTATTACGTTCGACACTCGCTAGTAGCATTTAACAAGTTTAAAGCAAGGTGGTCCAATGACATGCTGCGAATTAGGTACATTTATTTGCAATATTTCATATGCCTCTAACCCACTATAAAACGGATTATGCAGTGACCTGATGACAGCGGCATTCCTAAACGTACGGACACTCACCAAAGAAAGGAGAGAATGTGTTCTTCAGCCGACTTGGCAGGCAGGCCACCATGATCACTGTTCTGAGGGCAGTGCGGTGACTTGGCGAATTCTGCTGCCAAGAAGTCCACGACCGGCCGCGTGACGCGGAAATTTCTTTTGAACTGGAAGAAAACAGGCCTTTAAGCAACCTAATTAAAACAGAAGCCGAATGACTCACCTCCTCGTCGGAGTAGCTAGCCACCGTCTTTGTAACATATGCTTCCACTTTCGGCCTTCGCTCTGGCAGAGAAAAGAGCTGCTGAAACGCTGCTGCATACACTTCGTCGTCATCGTCGCTGCTGCTTGAACTCGACTCGGACGTAGAGCTCCAGCAGCTATCGCTGCTGACATCGTCTAGCTCGTCAAATACTTCGGCAAGACGACGACGTTTTGCTGCCTCCGCCATCCGTGAATCTGAAGGCAGGCAAGGTGGACGTTCACTGCCAGAATCTGCCGCTACGACGTTAAAATCGTTCGAGCCCGAGCACCACGCACGCTTCGCTGCCGCCATAACCGCCCGACACGACGCCGCAAAATGTAAACAAGTGAGGAGGATTGCTGAGAGGGTATGTCCGGACATGACGTTCCAAACACGTGGTTTCCTGCGTTTTCCACTCACTCCGCTTTTTAAGAGGGAGCAGACAGAACTGCTCCTGGCTGCTCTCGGCGCAGCAAAAGCGCTCTCGCTCTACCAATGGATGACAGTGCTCCTACTCCTGTTCGACCACTGAAACACGCCGCCTCGGAAGAGAGCACTTTGAGCGTGCTTTTGAGTGCACCTGCTCTCCCAATGGAATTCGCCATAACTACAAAACAGCTTGTCTGCCTTGCTCAATAACACGCGCGGCCTGTGACAGCACGGGAGCATTCAAGTAGCAACGGATGAGAACGGCCGTACGTGTTCGCACTTGACAAAACAGACGGCAATGCAGTAGCTCTGGCCTTCGTAGATCACAGGCTTCGTAAGAACATTACAATAAAGTTGTTTCCATCCACCGTATGAACACTTCGCCGACGCACTGGTGTTTCATGCATGTGCGTCCGGTCAGTCACACGTGAACTGTGCGAAAGCATTTATTTCATCGTCGACCTTGTCCTTCGAGACAAGCAAAACTCGGCAGCAAGAACACTTTCACCTTTGACAACACCACGCTTGGCATTGCAATCTAGAAAATGCAGTACGTCCAACAGCTGTAATCCGCACATCAAACTGAGAAACTTTATGGCGCAGACACTCAGATGAAGGTGCGGCGCGGTGGACGGCCGCACTAGCTCCAACCACCAGGTTCAACTAAGCATCCAGCAATCACATGAAGCAGCTACGACACTCCAGTCCTCTTTGGGAGTGGCCATGGCCACGATTTCATCGGAGTTTTCACCACCTAACACATCGCAGGCGGCTACCATTTCGCAGTGTTTACCTTTCGCAGCTGCAGCGCCCATGGCGCCCCCTGTATTTAAAATACTTGTAATAAGTATTTAAATAACAAACCTAGACTAATTAACTCGTTAAACACCTGCGTAGTAAAATTTTTGTAGGTTTAACGCATTACATTTGAATAATTTACACAATTAACTAGCTTTAGGTAATAATTTTTTAAGTGACGTCACTATTGTGCGGCGCAGAAGCCACTTCTGTGTGGGGCTGGCTGCTGCGCCGCGCGGTGCAGAAGACGCTGCCAATTCAACGCCGGCAAATTGCTCGGAGACTGCCTACGACACGGAGTTCCTTCCTCCGTGGCCTACGAAGACGGGCAAGGCCACGGAGGAAGGAAAAAGGTCCTTCCTCCGTGGGCAAGGCTCTGTTTGGCGTTGCATAAGTCAGTTGCCAGACTTTAAGAAGTCAGTTGCCATACTGCTGCCAAATTTAGCGAAACAATTTGCCCCTTTAGTTGTGGCTTCGTCGTGAGGGTTTAGTGTCATCCGCGGTGCATTTCGCAAGTGCGTGAGCTACGTTGGCCGTTTTAATTAACACAATGAATGTAAAACGAGCGTTCCAGAATTCGGGGCGCGTTCTCTTGCTGAGTGCGCTCCTGTGCAATTAATAGATCGTGTCGCAGAGTTGGGGAATCGACGCGTCGCCCACCGTGCTTGTTCGCGAGTGTGTGTGCGACGTAATTAACGCAATGAACCACGCGGTACAGAAGTCGGGGCGCGTTCTCTTGCTGTGTGCGCAGCTGTGCAATTAAGAGATCGCGTCTCAGTATTACGGACGACAGGGAAAACTGAATAGAGTCGCAGCAGGCGGTGTGCTGCACCCCTTCCCCCTTTTTTTTTTTTTTTCACAGCTGACCGCGTGCCAGGACGGGGACGCTACGCTTCCCCTAGCTGTATCAGCACCACGACCTTCTATATAAACTTCTATATAGCAGGTCGTGGTCAGCACAAGACATGTCGTTCGGACTTGTGCACATGTGACGAATAAACGTCCCAAGGCTGGCTAATCAGGGTACGTCGGATATGCTACAGCAATATACGCCTGGAAGGCTGCTTCATCCACGCAGTTGGAGCGAATTAAGCGCGACTCGCGCGTACCTGTAAATAAGACCCTGCATAAGCATTCATTATTTGGAATTTTGGTCGTTTGTGCTTATTGTGGGTGGGGTCCTGCAAGCGACGGCGGCTCGTCGGCGGGTCCTATTTACAGGTACGCGCGAGTCGCGCTTAATTCGCTCCAATTAACTGCGTCGATAAAGCAGCCTTCCAGGCATATCTGACGTACCCCGATTAGCCAGCCTTGGGACGTTTATTCGTCACATGTGCACGAGTCCAAACGATATGTCTTGTGCTGACACAGCTAGGGGTAGCTTAGTACCCGTCGTGGTACGCGGTCGACGCGGCAAGATCAGCTGTGAAAAAAAAAAAAAGAAGAGGGGGGAGGCGCAGCGCACCGCCTGCTGTGACTATATTCAGTTTTCCCCGTCGTTCCTAATACTGAGACACGATCTCTTGATTGCACAGCAGCGCACACAGCAAGAGAACGCGCCCCAATGTCCGCAAGGCGCGGTTCATTCCGTTAATTAAAACGACCCCTTAATTGCACAGCAGCACACACCAAGAAAACCCGTCCCAACGTCTGCAAGTCGCGGTTCATTCCGTAATTAAAACGGCCAGCGTCGCTCATGCACTTGCAAAATGCACCGCGGACGACACCAAATTCTTACGAAAAAACCACTACAGGGGCAAATTTTTCTGCCAAATTTAGCGCAATCTCACAACACTGACTTTCTAAGTTTGGCAACAACATATGCAACGCCAAACAGAACGACGACCAACAAAACCACGACCTCATAGGAGGTCGTGAACAGAACCCTGCCCGAAGACTGAATAAGCTCGCACAATGTGGGCTTGTTCGCCGGTGAGGGAAAATGCGCTGCTGTGTATCTGAACACGGCCCTTTTCTTCTGCACGCGGTACAGTTTTTATCGTTTCGTACGGCTTTTCGACTTGTACAGCTAATGAGATGCACACCTTGTGAATGTTTGAGATCGTTTACTTCGTTGTCACACTCTCTGGAAACATCTTTACTGCTGAAATTTGTAACGCAGATCACAGCATAAGTTCTACTTGTTCCTGCTCAAAATGAGTCTGCTGCGATATATGCTCATAAATTGAATGCATAGTAGAGCCAATAAGTGAACCCTTAGTACATATACATGTTGTACAGAAGGATCCGCGATCCACCCGTCTTCACGGGCGCCGATGGCACTGACGTGGAGGACTGGCTCGCCATTTATGAGCGCGTGAGCGTCCCCAACAAATGGGACGAGGACGGCAAGTTGACAAACTTGGTGTTCTACCTTGCGGGCGTTGCAAGTTTGTGGTACACCAACCACGCGTCCGAGTTTGCAACCTGGTCCGGTTTCAAGACTGCTATCACCAACGTTTTTGGCCGCCCTGCCGTTCGCAAGCTACAAGCCGAGCAGCGCTTACGCGAACGCGCTCAGCAGGCCGGTGAGTCATTCACCAGTTACATTGAAGATGTCCTGGACTTGTGCAAGAAGTCGAACGACAGCATGTCCGAATCAGACAAGATCCGGAACGTCATGAAGGGCATTGACGATGATGCCTTCACGATGCTGCTTGCCAAAAACCCAGGCACAGTAGCTGAGGTCATCACGCTGTGCCAGAGCTACGAGGAGCTCCGCCGGCAGCGTTCGATGACCCGTCGCTCCACATCACGAGATGCAGGGCTTGCAGGCTTGGAAGCGAGCTGTGATCAGGTGGCACTGCTGGCAGATCTCAAGTCCTTCATACGTGAGGAAATCGCGCGGCAGTTCTCTCTCCTGCCCTTTGCCCACCCACCGGCTGCTCAACAATCGGCCCCTACCATTCTTCCACCCATCCGCCGAGCGATTGAGCAGGAAATAGCGGAGGTCATGCCTGCGTACCACCCACAACAACTTCCGGCCCCTGCACCCCCAAGTTACGCCCAAGTGGTCGCAAGGCCGCCTCCAGTCGTTCAAGCGCCTGCACCAGTGACTTACGCCGAAGCTGCCGCACGACCTCCGTCCTTTGCAGCGGGTATGCCGGCTGCATATGTTGGTGCAACCCCTCAGCCTCATTTTCAGCCCACCATGCAGCCTTTCCAGACACCGTTCCGGGCGAGACCCACCCCGGCAAACCGATGGCGCACACCCGACAACCGGCCCATCTGCTTTGCTTGCGGTTACGCCGGTCACGTAGCCCGTTATTGCTCTCGACTACAGCCGGCTCCCACTTCTACTGTTGCTGGCCACCTTAGCCGTTCGTATAACGAGGAACTGCCGTCTGTGCCACTGTAGTCTCGCCCAGGTCCGTCTGCTTGAAGGTCGCCGTCTCCACGACGTCGGTCTCTGTCCCCCATGCGGCCAAGTTCTTCTGCTCATGAGCGGGAAAACTAGTCGTCGCAGTCCCAGAGGCAAGGACTGCGACGCTATCACATTGTGAAAGCCCTCAGAGCCGCCCATCTAATGTCATTGACGTGCTTGTGGACGGTGTTCATGCATCTGCTCTTATTGACACTGGAGCTGCGGTATCAGTTATGAGCGAAAACCTTTGCCGCTTGCTTCGAAAAGTGACGACGCCGATTTCTGGACTGTCCCTTCGTACCGCTAGCTCACATCGTATTAATCCTACAGCAGGCTGCACAGCTCGCGTTGTCGTTCAGGACGTTCTGTATGTCGCCCAATTCATCATCATTCCTGCATGCTCTCATGACGTCATCTTGGGATGGGATTTTCTCTCCCGCAACGACGCCGTGATTTATTGTGCCGCCGCCGAAATTGAACTCTCGCCCTTCTCGCATTTGACGCCAGAAGACGGTCCCTCGACACTGAACAAGATTCTTGTGAAAGACGATACTATAGTGTCTCCAAGCTCGACGATGGGCGTATCGGTCTACTGCACCGGTCTCTCCGACACAATTGCACTTGTTTCGCCATCCTACCGTGCTTCCAGGAGGAAAGGGTTGCTAGTACCTTTCGCGACCGTTGCAAATCACCCAAGGCAACGCCGCTATTTTTGTGACCAACCCATCCCCGTACACTGTTACCTTGGTTCAAGGGGAATGTCTCGGCAGAGTGGAAGCAGTCGACGACGCACAAGTCCTGGACGTGCCCGAAGACTCGCGTTGTCCCGATTCACGTACCATCAGTGCTGTTTCTACTTCTGACCCATCATCTCCTGATGTATTTGGCCCATTCATTGATGACAACCTTACGTCAGTGCAGCGTTCCCAGCTT